GTCTGAGAAAATAGTTCTTTTTCAATGTTAGAGGTAATTCAGGTTCAATCACAAATTCTCAGATCAAAACAAAAAATAAGTACCACAGGTACTTATTCTAGGAAAATCCTGGTTTATTTTGTCATCTGTCCTCCTGCTGCTACTTCTCCTTAGCTGTTTTCAGCATACTGGATGCTAACTCATTGAGAGAGTCCTGAGAGTACTACAGTAGAAATGACATCAATATTGTTGCCAAGGGAGCTGCAGTGAGTTCCTATTTTGCTTAAGAGTGGGTTTTGTGTCTTCAGTGATCTCATGAACTTTTGAAGGTATTTGTGATGAAACACACATCTGTTGCCCTAGGGATTGCAAAAGAAACATCTGTGCCCTTTGCCATGTGATGTTTCCTGATCAGTAAGAACTGTGTAAGCATGTCTGGCACCTCACTGTAGCGATGAGCACACCAGCTAAACACACAGGTGTGCAACTGCAGGAGTGGCTGCTCCCTCGGGCAGGAAGAAGAACCACCGGTTCTCTCCAACATGATAGGGAACCGAGAGTGAGGGACCTTTGTGTAAGGAAGAGCTTAATAAGGAGACAAGGAAACAGTGAGGGTGAGCAGACACAAAGAGAGTTGTATGGCATTGACTCTGCTAGATCTCAGCACAAATAAGCATGGGTGGGTAGAAGACATCATTCATTAGCTGCACTGAGGGAAGGGCAGGTTGTTCAGATAAGCAGATTTGCTGGTGAGGGACACTGAGTGCCAATAGATAAATTCTGTGGAATAGTATTCATTGTGTGGATTTTTCACTCTTGGCCTTTCCTAACCCTTGCTGTTCTGATGCTCTTTCAGCTGGATAGCATTGCTGGTGAGTGGGTTGCCCTTCCTCCCCTGCCATCAGCCAGGTGTCTCTTCGGGCTGGGAGAGTCAGACAACAAGATCTATGTCATAGCAGGCAAGGACCTTCGCACCGAGGAGTCGCTAGATTCAGTATTGTGCTATGACCCTGTGTATGTTCCAAATTCAATTATGCCCTCTGAGGACATATGTAGATGGCCCATTGTTAGTTGAAAAAACCTAACAGTGATCTTCTTGTTCCAGGGCAATGAAATGGGGTGAGATCAAAAAACTGCCCATCAAAGTATATGGCCATGCAACTATCTCAAACAATGGACTGATATATTGTCTTGGTGGAAAAACTGATGATAAGTGAGTTTCTAAGTCTTTTTATGACAATAACATTATCTTCTTGGTCCTTAATAAATAATATGTCTCACACTCAGAAATTAGGTTTTCCCTTTGCTGCATCTCTGATATAAGGTTGCTAATAGTCTGGCAGAGGGGAACACATTATGGTATGAAGGATCTATTTTTTGGTGATAAGGTAAATTACATATAAATTGTAATCCAACTTGCTATTTTAATAACCATACTTATTTCCAAGGCAAATTTTACTTACACTGCAGACAAATTAATAATAGATAGCTATGAGGACCTTCACTGAAAATACTCTTTCCTTTCAGATAGAAATACCTAGGTGCCCTGGATTTACAGTCTGTTTTTCCAATTTTCTTGCCTGTGATACCTGTTATACTTTATTGGGTATGCCATTAGGAAAATAAAAGTTTTCACTCACACTGAACAGGGGGTGGTAATTTTTAAGTGTTTTATAGGAGATATTTAAGATAAAAGTTTGTAATATCAGCCAAAACTTCATCATAAACTTTCCTTTACATAACCTTTGCTATATTCCTCCACAAATCCATCTGAATACAATATGCTGGGAAAGGACGTTGTCTTTCTCCTCAAAAGTACAGTGAAATGGCAGCCTTGTGTAATGTAAACCACATCTGATTTAGTCCTATGGATGTGAGTAATGCTTTGTAGACATTGCAAGGATTCTCAGATTAGATACAATAAAGGATTCTCCAGGATAAGAAGGAGGTGGTATAGATAAACCTATACAGTCTACCTCAATTAGATCTACTTGCAACAAGTCAAAAGTTCATTAGAAATGATCACCAATTTTCTTTTTGCTCCCCAGGAAATGCACTAATAGGTTATTTGTGTACAATCCCAAGAAAGGAGACTGGAGAGACCTGGCTCCAATGAAAGTGCCTCGCTCGATGTTTGGAACAGCCATCCATAAGGGCAAGATTGTCATTGCAGGTGGTGTCACTGAGGAAGGCCTTACTGCATCTGTTGAAGCTTTTGATCTGACCACCAATAAGTGAGTGCAATATTCAAGCTACTTTAATCAAGTGTTTTATCATCTATGCTTTTAGGAGCCCTGAGGTAAGAGTCTCAAAGCTGTTCAGGTACCTATACTCGCACTGAGACATTTGGTCTGCAGTCACATGTTCAGCAGCAACAGCAGCAGTTTACAGAGCAAGTCTGTAGATGTTTCCCTGCACCTGCACACACTCCAATTATTATGCTAATGCCATTTTGTATGAAGCATATTACTGAATCAGGGAATCTGTAAGAAGTTGTCCCTGAGATGTCTTAACAATGTAATTGTGTAATTTAAGAGCTGCAGAAGTCCCTGAGGGGATGGAGACACTGGAACATACTGCTGATAGATCTCAGAACTTTTTCATTTTATTAAACCATGGTCTTGGTACCTGAATTTGTTGCTCAGAGAAGTGTTTTAGTGCATTCAGTTTACAATATTTCTTATGTGTTTAACTTGACTTTTTCTTTTGATCCTTAGATGGGAGATAATGCCTGAATTTCCCCAAGAGAGAAGTTCCATTAGTTTAGTCACTTTAAGTGGAGCTTTGTATGCTATTGGAGGCTTTGCAATGATTCAGCTTGAATCTAAAGAATTTGCACCTAGTGAAGTCACTGACATATGGAAGTAAGTTTCCTTTTAGTCACTCTTTCCTGGTCAAAGGTCTTATCTGAAATTGAGGTTTGTAGACACTGGAGGCTAACGCTATTTTTCTGTTTGACTCTGAATATGATCCATAGCACAGGCTGTAAAGCATTTGTTGACAGATAAAAAAGTTTGTCAGAAAGTAACAAATAAACATGAGACCCGGATCTAATGACTACTTCCACCTACTAATGATTTGACCAGTCCAAGTCACAATCTTCAGCTTCTTTAGAAGAGTAAATTGCCATCTCTTGGCATTTTTAGCCTTGCCAATAAAAACATTCTTCTGTTGCACTGTGATGCAGAAAAGCACGTATATACAGAGGCCTGTACATACTGATGGTCAAATGAGTAATGTTCCAAGAGAATGAGAAGTCCCTATCTCCTAGGGGTTTTTGAGCTAATCACAGCAGCAGTGATGAGACATCATATAAGAGTTGCTGCGACTCTTAGCTGCCTATGTAAATTCAGAAGCTTTAGTTGGCAGTAGGAAGGAAAATTCCCCAACTTTACATGCAAGAATCTGAAGAAATTCAGAAGGGATGCTTAAGGAGGAAGCTTTTTTAAAGCATGACACAGGTCAGCAACAAGCTTTAGGGACCAGGAAAAGAATAGCTTGTGTGCAAGAACATCTTTCTGTTCTGGAGTTGAGGACAAAAGCAGCCTTTCTTGGCACCCTTGAGCACACAGTCGCTACAAGCCTTTGCAACAGGTGGACTATCCTCCTTTTCATGTATGTGTGCTGAAGCATCAAAGTCAAATTTAAAGAAGCTATTTTTTAACTGTTTTTAAAATGCAGGTATGATGATGAGAAGAAAGAATGGGTTGGCATACTGAAAGAGATCCGATATGCTACTGGAGCCTCCTGCCTGGCCACACGCTTAAACCTCTTCAAGTTATCAAAACTGTAAACAAAATGCTGGAAGATGTGATATGGTGAGGGAGTTCTGACAGGCTCTTCTGGTTTTGTTGCATGAAAATGTCCCCAAATTGTACAGTTTTATAGCAGCATACTCATCATACTGGGAACTGTTAAATAGTTCATTTGTCTGTTCAGTTCTTAAGATACTTTCTAGCTAACCAACAACCACAGAATTTTTGCCAGTGTTTAAATTTCTAAAGGGTTATAGTTAATGTTGATTAGATTAAGATTTTGGCAAGAACTCAATTTTCCACTCTGTGAAACTGCAAACAACACTAGTTAGCCTTCCTTGCACTCAATACAATCCAGTTATTGGTGGCTTGTCCTCCAAACAATGTGCATGAATTAATTGTTAAGTTAAATACAACTAATAGGTAGCTAATATTATTCTAACTGGCTGTTTGTAAGGTCAGATTTCCCCTCTTAGTAACGTATGTAAATCCTTCACTCTTCAGCAGTATCTTGGAAATATTCTCATCCCAGACCTCAAAAAAAATTTAGCTTGGAATTGAAATGAATGTTTTAAACAAAAGTGGCTTAATATTATGTGGCCTAAAAAAAGCCAGTTTCAGCCAAAGCTATACTAGTAGACAGAGGAGAGGGTAGAAAGAGAAGTTCATAAGGTTAGTAGCTCTACTGTTTTACCTACTGTGTTTAGACTTCTGATAACAAGGATTTTCCACTTTTTTAATGCTTTTATATTTATTTCCAAAGCAAATATTTTATGGAAGTTTTCTCAGAGATCTGAGGTCAATAGCAAGCATTAATGAAAAAGTCCTAAAAGAGCTATCTTTAGCAAATACCTGTGACAGAGAGGACTTTTTCATTTACTATAGAGTTGATGCATTTTGATGTTGAAACTTTTAACAATTAAACTTTGTTTTTAAAACTATAAAAGTATCACTTGATGGCATCTTTTTTGAGTGATTAGCTCATCATCACTATCATATTGACAGGACACAGATCTCTTAGTACAGCCTTTGCCCAAAGTAAAGCACTCAGTTTTCTTCTTCTTCAGAACTTACCATTTTTTTGTCAAGTAGCTCTTCAAAGGATTTCTCCATTGCATAAAGAGGCTGTCATCAGTCTAAAGGATTTCATAAATTTAAATCTAAATTGGAAAAGAAGGCCACCACACCTGATTGAATAGCAATGCCAGCTATCAAATGACCCCTTGCATTGCCCTCCTATGAGACAGAAGTAAACATATGCAGAGGCACAGCCATCATAGTTTATTTCAGTATGTTATTGACAACTAGTACTTAATCTGGGGGCATCTTTAGTACCCAAATCTGCAGCTGTGCTTAGCACCTATGTTTATTGGCTCCAGTTAGATCACTGGTTTACACCACTCATCTGCTCTAACACTTGCTGATTTAATATAGAAAGAATGAGTGCAAAGAATCAAGAACAACACTTTTTACTGAATTGCTTTTTTTTTTTGCTTTTCTTCAATGCCCTTTCTGGACCACTCATAACAAGTTTTAATCCTCTTCCCATTGTGCATACTCATAACTTTATCCATACATAATTTGAAGAAAACTGCCTTGGTACAGTGACTGCTAGAACCCTGAAAAGCAGGGTTCAGCTCAAACATGACCACCCTGACTGGTAACTTCAGCCACTGACACTCCAAGGCTGCTGCTTGAAGGCTGTCTGTACAGAAACACAGTCATGCGAGAGTCTTTGACAGGTAGTCCACCTTCTGAAATACTAACCTATATTTATGATTGTTTTCTCCATTTTATACAAAATATAATGCACACAGAATCCTTCTATGTGCTGTGCCTTCAATGACATTTCCTCCAAGCAGTCATTACATCTTGGAGCCTTTGTCCATTTGATAACCCTAAGTGTCTAGACTACTAGTTTTGTCAGTCATCCCACAAACATGAGGGCTGCCTCAGGAGGAAAGTACCTTACAGCTTAAATCAGTTCTGTTGGTTTTTCCTGACTTTCCATTCCTGTCCTGCCTTGTATTCAGTTAATAAAACATTTTTCTTCTGCTACTGAATAGTAGAAAAAAAGGTGACAGCCAGATGCATAACGGCCAATTCAGATATGCAGTTGCTTATCTCTGCCAGGTTTCAGGTGAAGTGATAAAAGAATGTGTTCTGTTTCTACTAAATAAGCAAGAAAATATCTCCTCTTGCACATGTGAGAAAACAGGCACAGCTGGCAGTCACCCTAAGGTGATGGCAGCTGTAGGCACAGTGTGGCTGCCTCTGGAAATGGGATGATTTGCCAAGCATGACACCCCTGCAGTTACTGCTCCACAATGAACATTCTCCTGGCTCTTCACTTCTTCCTTCTACATCTCAGTATCTTACACCTCCTGCACAAACCCTGGCTGGATTTTCCAGTATGTGAAGGTGTTCCAGAAGGCTCAGCCATTCTTCTGCATATACCAGATCTAAGGGTAGGAGAAGCAGCTAGAGGTTCCTCACCACACAACACTCTCCCCACAGTACCTCTGTTCTGAGAATGGAAACTGAATGGCTCTAAAAGCAGCCTTATTCTTAGAAAATCTGCATTTCAGATACTGTTTGATTCCTAGCTGCTCATTCTGTCACATAGTGGAGGATAGACAGTTTCCAGTAGATTGCTGACTCCGCTCTCCTAGTCAATAATATATCCAACTTTTTCTGTGGAGAGTTTTTTGTCTGGCTAAGCTTCTGTGCTATTTATTTAGGAAATAATAATGTAATTTGACTGCAAAACTGCCAGATTCATGTGCTTGTAATAGCTTCCAGATAACGAGAAAGTGTAAGCATCCTTACCACATCTTCACAGCCCACTGTGACCTGCCTTTTGCAATCCCTAACAAAATAAGGATTAAATCTCTTTACAGCTGATGACCTGGGCAAGCCTTGGCCCACCTGATACAGATAAAGAGATTTTATGAAATGTTTGATGATACATAAACTGTTTTATAAAAGTGCTTTAGACTGCATGTCTGACATCACTGTATTCCATACAGCTGCTGTCTCAGGTATTCCAGCTGTTCACTTTTTGTTGACAGAACCATAGAATTCCATTCGAAGTGAGGAATCTGTAGAACAGAATGGTACAAACTGACTTTTAACATTGGTATAAGCCACATACCACATAAGAGCAAAGAAAAGGCTCTCTGATATCTGTTGTTCTTCACCTGAAGATATTTACCACCTCCCAAAAGCCTGGCTTACTCTAATACTGAAAAGATCCATTTTTTATTGTAAGATTCTCCTTTATGTAAGTACAGTCAGTCTGCTTCTAAAAAGCAGCATAGTTGCAGAGATATAAAACAGATGCCCACACAATATAGGCTGTGACAACTCCATCACACCCTCCCCTCTTTTAAAACCCAAATTGAGAGAAAAATCCCAGGTCACTGTAGTTTGTAATGCTAATGTAGCAGACTGGAATGGTGTATCAGTAGTGTAACATGTAAGATGATTATTCTGTTTAAAAAAAAACCCAGCTAACAAAATTTAAGCTTAAAGAAGGATTCTATCTAAAATTAGGTTAGGTGAGTAATTAAATATATAGGAGCCTCTGCATTAATGAATCTCCAATTCCCAAATGTTTCAGTGCTGGTGGTGAATTATGTCTGGCCTCTAGTGTTCCTTGTCACAGCACTATCATTGCAGCAGACAAACAGCATCCATATCCCATCTGGCAGCTGCCAAATTGTCTTATCACTCAAGGAGGGTATGTTCAATCTTTTTCTACCATAGAAATCTTCAGTGAATTGAACTGAAACTCTCATTTGACTTTTTCTCCTTTACTCAGGCTGCAATGAGATTGCTAGTTTGCCTGCAGTAAGGGCAGAGTGGGACTTTAGCTTTGCTTCACCCTTTTTCAGAGAAGATATGTGTTCTGTGAAGTCCTTAAATCATTTTGAGAACAGCTTGGAGTTTCTCCCCAACTACAAAAATTGCTCTCTCCCAGTAGGTGCTTTTAAGATAAAGCTGCTCTAAATCTGTTGTGAGGAACATGGATCATTTTGCACTGCTGATACAATCCAGAAAGGACACAAAGTATTGCTGACTGCTCACCTGAACGACTCGGTACCCCAGCATTTCCAGGTGTCGCTTTTTCACTGCAGGTTCTCCTTTCAGATGATGTGAATAATCTTTGCTAAAAGCTTTTGAATCAAGAAATTCCAAAGCAATTCTGCAAATAGTAAAAATGTGCATTTACTTCCACATCCTACCTGAATAGCAAGAAGTGACAGTTCTAGTTCAGTACTGATAATTACAGCAAGGCTAGATAAACCTGACAATTATCAGAAAAGAAAAATTAAACAACTCCATGGAATTAGACAAAATATTTTCCTCCTATTTATCTAGAGATACTTGAATTCAGAAAAAGCATTTTCTCCCTGCATCTGTTTTTGTTCCAATGGTAAAAACAACTAACCAACATTTTCAAGGCTTGCATTTGAAAAGGTGTGAGGAAAACAGTATTCCAATCTCACGACACACATGTCAAGAACCTGTACTGGGTTTGGCTGGGATGGAGGTACTTTCTTCATAGCAGTTGGTATGATGCTGTGTTTTGAACTTGTGACCAGAACTGTCAATAACACACTGATATCTTGGCTACTGCTGAAAAGTGCTTGCACAGCATCAAAGCCTTCCCTATTTCTCCCCCTGTGCCCACAGTGCACACAGGCTGCATTGACAAGAACAAGGGACACAGCTGGGAGGGAACCTCAGCTGCTGAAGTGGTGTTTCACACCATCCAACATCATGCTCAGCAGTAAAGCAGAGGGGACTTTATCCCACACAGCCATTGCTCTGGCACAGGTCTGCTGTGGGTGAATGACTGCATGGCCATCCATTGCTTTGTTTCTCCCTCCTCCTTTTTTTCCCCCTACACTTATTAAACTGTCTTAATTGCAACCCAGGAGTTTTCTTCCTTGCTGTTACCCTCCACATTCTCTCCCCCATCACACTGCAGGGACATGAGCCATGCCCTGCAAATGGGAGGGAGCAGCTGTGGCTAACCCACCACACCCCAGAAGGCTAAACCTCATTAGACTTTGGAAAAAGGAACAGAACATTAGAACATGAGCATCAAAAACCCAATCTAAAGTGGATGTAAGCCAATGTACAAGAATTCAATGTACTGACCTTTGAGCTCCTGGTGGCAGAGCCTTTCTCCCTTCATCCTTGATGTCATGTCTCAAGGGTATTCCCCCCACACCACCCAAAGCTATATTCTGAGCCACATAGGAAAGAGGCTTTTTATTTACATCCAGGACACACTCAAAATCTGCCAGAAAACAATACAAATCTGTTTACTGACAAAATAAAAATGAAAGAATTTGATCTGTACAATGTTTACTTGTAGAAAAATGGATGGCCATAATTAGAGATACCCAACATTATTAATACTACAAAGAACATTTTGGAAACTGTATTTTATACAACAATTTCTTCTTTGCAATATCTTGTGTTATTTTGGGGCCATATGACCAGGAACTTCCTAATCTCGGTAACAAGAGTGATATGAAAGGACTTCATAACAATTTTTAGAGTATTAACTTCTCACCTATTTCATAGTAGTACGGTGTGAGAACAGATACTCTTGAGTAATGGCTCCCTCCTAAGATCTCTGTCAGCATTCTGTGAATATGCTGTCGCTGTGGATTTGTTTGGCTCATGCCTACAAAGACAAAATAAAGAATTCATACATCAAAACTTCCACAGCCAAAATTCTGAAAATAGTGCTTTGAGACATTGTATTTTTGACAGCCAGGCTACGGAATTAAATCTTTTCCACGGATCCCGAGTGCTATTCCATCATAATTCAGAGACAAAGTGCTCGTATCTTAGCTCGAAAGTGACAGGTGCATGCTATTAAGTAAATTTCAAATCCAGAGTTTAGATCCCAGGATTTTTTCATTCACATACTACAAAACCTCAAGTTTTAGGTTTCACCTGGTGGATTTTGTTTGCTTTTAGTTATGTTTAGACATGTATTTACTCACCTTGGGTTGATTACAGCCATACCCCACTATCTGTCACTTCTCTGTGCATTGCAGATTAACACCCTGCTCCATTAAACATCTTCAGTCTTAGAGACAAAGCAGCCGAGTTCTGTGGATAGCACAGCAGATCTCCCCATGAGAATTAGTGGAGGAGATCCTGTGTTTGCATTTGATGGATTCTGAATTGATTACTGTTCTGAAAGATCTCAGCTGCGACACTTGATCACTAGCCTACTTCTCTATCTCTCATCCCTGATGGATGTTGATTCTTGTGAAGAAAAAGGGAGGATTAAGTTCAAAAGGAGGCAGTAAAAATGTTTACCTTGAAAAATTTAAGTCAAATGTTCAGTTTTGTAAGTGAAGCAGGGAGCAAAATGACCCATCTCTCCAGTACAGAATGATCTTCCTGCCTTTCCATCCTTCATGCCATATACCCAGTTTCTGTATATTTAAATTTTAATTCTTCTGCAGAAATAACCCATCTCTACTACATTAATTCTCACAAAGAAAACCAGTTTGCTCCCAGTTGCACTAATAAGTGGTTGCACTACAAAATGCTCAGCAGAGAGGGGTGTGCATCTATTGTGTGCTAGTGTCAGTATGACAGCTTTAGAAGAAACATCTAGTATATTTCTAAAAAAATAGACTATTGTGAGTAACAAGGGCAGCTTTCCTGTCCTAAATGACTTACTGTTATGAAAGACACGTTGGCAGTATGGCTCATGAAACCAAGGGATGTGAAACTCTGGGCACTCCAGACAGACTGCTCTGTTCAATTTCATGAGGCTCGAGTGGACCCTCTGCTTCACCATATCAGGCAGGACTGATTAAAAAAAAACCAACATAGAAATGTGTGAACTGAAATGTGAAAAATCCAACAAATTGAATTAAATGGTAACCTCTGAATCTTTTAGTAGAAATGCAAATATCTGTATACTATGGCATTTATACAACTCATGCTGCAGAATTTTAGAAAGGTTCTCAAAATCCCTGAGATAATAAATGAAAAAAACACAGCTCTGCTCAACATTAAGAACAACAGGAAGACAGAAGACAGAAATTAATTAAATTTACACAATAGAAGCCCGTAGTTGAGGGCAAAATGGCAAGAGTACATTGATAATGAACAACACAGAGGTAGAGAGGAATGAAACAGTCAAGCACTCAGTCTCTTATTTAGAGAGAAGAGACAGGTAGGATGCATTTCTTGAAGACAAGAATCCCACATTATTCCTTCAGCTTTGTGACTACTTCTAGTAATAAACACCACAGTCAGGTAATTTTATTTCCAATAAAATTGAAGAATTATTAAATACTGAGTGCAATAAGTTGACTATAAAATTAATTTTATATTACTTTCTCTCATCTGCAATACAGGTCTGTACTTTAAAAAAAACCAAACAAACATATTTTTGTTCATTCCTGCCCTTTTAGCACTCAAACTATGACTATATTATAAAGAGGGTGTCTTTCCCAAAAGCAGAATCATTTAAAGAGTAATTCTATATCTCAAGTCATATGTGAGTCCAAATTGCATTTTATGCCAAATGCTACACAATCAAATTCATCAAAAGCTAGATAGCTACCTTTAAGTTGAGCATCCAGTTTGCTTAGGAAAGAAATATTAAATATGGTTGTTATCAGAACTGGAGGAAAATACCCAGCCATTGCCAAAACATGACCAAGCAGCACCAAGTGATAATTTTCAAGATGACCTTGAAAAACCAGAGAGAAACCCATATTAACACATGACAAAGTTGAAAGGATTTGCAATGCCCTTTACCTGGCCTCTCAAATCATCTGATTTTCCCTCTTAATGTACAACACAAATCCATACCTACTTCCTCCACAATTTTAACTATTTCTTTGTCATGAATCACAATATGTATCCTGTTCCCAAATGATGTTTCCTTGGGGAACACAACAATTCTAACCAATAACAGCACAGTGAATTAATCAGAATTTTCACTTATCTTTTACTATGCCAAAAATTCCTTTGCTAGTCCCTTATCAAGGGTCATTTTCAGCAGGTGAAACAAAACCTAAAATTGAATATTTGTCATGGTTTAACCCCAGCAGGCAGAGTACTAGCAGTAACATCTTTTCTTTGCTTAATCAAATTCCATTCTATTCCCATTTTCATTCAGTAAAAATCTTTGTCTAGTGCACTTACTCAAGTTAGAAGTAAGATGTTGGATACAACTCCTAAAGAATTCTTCATTGTCAGGAGGGTCATAATTCAAAGCAGAGAAAAGGAAGAGAATAAAATAGATTTCAGAGGTGAGAATCTGAAAAAAAAAGACATCCTAAATCAAGTTAGGGCAAAATATCCTACTATAGCTTTATAATAAAGAAAAGCTTTATAATTAATTCAGAATTTGGAGATTTAGGAGTAGATGAACTATTTTCTAATTTTTTTTGGTCAACTTCTCTGGAGAAAATAACAAAAAAATAAAATTGTTGAAATTGGAGCCACAACTAAAACTTCAAATTTATTTCATGTAGGTGATCCAAGTGTTCCTATACACTTAAAGAACCTTTTAAGAAGGTTTTGCATTAAATGTTCTTAAAGAAACTCATTCTGCAACAGAATAAAATTGAAGATTTATATGAACACCAGATGGAGAATGAGAAAAAAGACAGTATGAAAAAAAGAGTAATTTTGACCAAATAGACAGGCCATTGGGGAAATCCCCACAACAATTAATACTGTTAAAATATCTACCATGTGATGTGACTATTTCTCAAGAAGTTAAAAAAAATTAAGATGGTCAAATGTAAAGTTGAATGTAAATTATGGCTGACCTAACACTGAGTGAACAATAAAAAAGAAATGAAAATTAATGATAAACGCAAATTTAGACACATAGAAGTAAAACAGCTTTAAGTAAGCAGAAAAAAACATTATCTCCAAATCAACTATGCTGAAGAAAACTCTTAAAAACATGTGTGGATTGTGCTCTGAAACACATCAACTACTGATGTGTCCTTTCTTACTGACTAACTCACAGTGGATAGAAAGAAAAACTGGGACACCTTGTCTATATTTTCAACAGTCACAGATGCGATTCTGTCAAATAATGCAGGACAACGGTGCTCTGATTTTATGAGGAAAAAAGACAAGGGTAAAACATTTGCCCATGTTATTTGATCTATCAAGTGCTGACACATGGCCAGAGTTTCCTCATTCAGGACTTCTTCAAACCACTCTCCATTCACATATGGAAGCTCTTCCAGCAGAAGATTTAAGTTGTTGGCTTTCTGAAGCCTCTGAAATGCACAGTCATTGAGTTTTTGCAGAAGCTTGGCACACAGCTCAGAGCTGTTTTGCCAGTGAAACTGGCCATGATGATTCCACTTGACAAGAGCTGTAGCAATGCAATTCAAATGATGGAGTCTGCATTGAGGCAAAACTGCTGCTGCTTTGTTTATAATCATTTCCTCCACTTGGAAAGAAGGAAGCATGGCCAGAACACGAATTACAGCTGCAGTATCAGCAGGTATCACACTAGATTTTAAATAACTGGAAGAGAGATAGAAATAAAAAGCCCATCAGTAGTGACAAAGTGCAAGTATTTAAACAAAACAAAAAAAATTGCATGCTTGAAACTTCTAATTTGGAAGTCAAAAGCTGCACATCAAATATAAAATAAGAAGAATATTAATCACTTGGCAGAAATCCACACATCTTTTTTTTTTCAGTGAGACTAACTTCTTCCTTCTAATTTGTTCAAAACTGAACAAGGGGAAGAAGACAATGAGCAGCTCAGTCAGCTGATGAGACTCCACCTGCTACTGATGAACACAGAAGTTCTTAGTAAGGCCAGAAGGTCCACATTTGTCAAGGTAATCTGTGGGTTTATGGGCCTGGTTAATTTCTGTGATTTCTGTCCTAGGGAGCACCAGGTTTTAAGGAGTCTGAGGAACATGAGGACATTATCCACCAAAAAACTATGTACAGCCAAGGCATTACATTCCCATAGAGGCTGAGCAATCAAAGCAAGATCTCGTATCTGGCACCTTTCTGTTGTTCTGTAGAAGCCTAAGAACTAACTGGACAGTTCTTCAATCAAAAGAGTACTTCTGTGTCACACTTTCACTTGTCTCAACCAAGGCATTCTGTCTCTTTTTCATTACTTCTTCTGTCAAACATCAAATACAATATTAATATCTACCCATCCTATCAAATACCAATCAAAATTTATTGTCATTTCAACATCATTATATTACAGTGGTCAGAAGAAAAAGGGAAAAAATATTTTTAAAAGGTACCATATATTAGCAGATACTGTTGGGTTTCTAGTCAAGACAACATCTACTTTCCATCATCTGATTTACATGTTTAATAAACCAAATACTTGTAACACTTTGTTACTTCTTCGTATTTTATGGGTGGAACACTAACATCTTAGACTGCTATTTAAAATCCTAAGTAGAAAACTGTTTAAAACTCAAATAGCTACATTTCCAAGAATACACACTTACCCTAATAGTAACATTTTTAGTTTGGCAAACAGCTCCAGATCCTGGCAATGCAACACCACCAAGTACTGTGTTAACTTTACCAACTGTAATACATGATAGCTGTCCAAGTGTCTGTGCAGAACAGAAGCCATCCTGAATTTAAAGAGGAAAAGATTACATGGTATTAAGCTAATACAAAAGATACTGCAAACTCCAACCTGCCACATGAAATACAGGTGTCTTGTGATGCACAGTACCTGTGGGGAGGGTTTTACACACCTGCACTTGTCTCCACATTGATTTTGACGCTATTCCACTTAGAGCAGCCTCTCTCCACTTACTGAATTGCAAAATTAAAGCCACACAACAAAAATTAAAGTCATCACAACAAATCAGCTACTTCACACTACTATTTTCTGTTGCAGATTTCACATTCTGTTCAATTTAGAATGGACCCAGAACATAAACTAGAACAGCATCAGCAGCTCCAGCACCACCACATTCACAAAACAGCGGTTGCTACAGCTGTGCTGGTCTAAAGCTGCAGAGGGGGATAGATTTGTAGGGAAAGATAATACTTTAAGACCTTCTTTAGACAGTGAGACTCAGGAACAAAAGGCATTAATTCACCTGATCTTCCTTTTAGTATCCCTTTCTGCCACAGAACACAAGTATGTCCTTTTTCTTTCAAGGATCTATTTGATTCATACAAGTACCTTCAATCCAATAACTGTTCACAACCTGCAGTTAATTCTGCTGTATCTCTGACATATCTAATGCTACATCTTCTGTGCCTAAAACATCAACTTCCTTTCCATTCACTGTATGACAGACACTACCCGTCCCTATAAATAGTTTTCAGTTCAAAACTGCAGAAAATGTGGCCCAGGTTCTAAAAAACACAAGCTTTAATAGTCCAAAATAGGACACAATGACTTTTGAACAAATAATTCACAAAAGTAACAGGATCTTCAAGACAGGATATGTTCTCTGCAACTTACCACATTTCATTTGCACTCTCCCGAGTTCACAGTAATTGTTAGAGGTGAAGTTTATCACAGATTTGTAAATTAGACAGATGCTATACAACAGTAACTTGGTAAGGGTGAAATGCCTTTCTTCAAAATCCCTAAATTACCTCAATTACTTCTGGGTCAAACTGCAATATTCTAGAATCTGTAATAGCCAATAAGTTATAGTGTATAAGAACTTGTGTGCAAGTGCTGCTCCTAACTTACTGGATATGTCAAAGTTTCCCACACTAAATGGAAGTTTACCTAGAGAATACAACATCTTAGTAATATAAAAACCATTACTTTTTGACTAGATGAGAATTTCTGCATTTCATTTTCCGCATAGTTTTCAGTATCAGCAATATTTGATGACTGCTAAATTCCTCTGCCATGTTTACTGCAGTTATCAGCAACCTAAAGAGGAAAAGACAATTTCCAATGAAAAACAGTTGAAAATCTCTGGCAAACATTTTCTTTACCTATGAGGAAAAGAACCAAAGACTATTTCTGGAAGCAAAATTATCCCAAACTAGAGACTTTTGTTCTGTGGACATTTCTTCTGAACAGCTGGTCTGTCTAGCACAAATAATGGGGTTGGATCAGTGCATATTGTTCTGATGCTAGAAAACAGCAAGTCCAACAATTCTAAAAGTAGACAAGAAATAGGGAAGGTACTCTAAGACACAGAACAATTCATAATCGACCAGCAAGCTACAGATAACAGAATCAAACATGAACTGAACTGGTTCTGTGTTAATTAAATCCAATGTTTATCACAAACAATATAAATTTAAAAAAATGAAGAAAACTTTTGGAACTAAATCAGCTATGGCAAACCAACACAGGCTTGCAGCAAATCTCTGAATAAAGGAAATGTTCACAAAGAGAAGTAGGAAATATGACTCATTGTAATTAATACAGAAAATTCTGCCTAGAACTGCAGGCTTTGAGAGACCCATGAGTAATGTCAAGCCCAAACAGGATTTTGTGGCACAAGAAAAACAGGTAGAGAAAAAAAAAGTGTCACATAATACTATGCTCTAAATAAATGCTGAAGTGTTCCCTGATGACGATCTTTCATAAAGAACAGGATGTCAGCAGTCTAATATAGGACAAGACTCAGTCTTTTTCAGCTACTGACAGGCTTAAAAAAGAAAAAGCAACACATATCACTGCATAAAGAAAGACAGAAATGTTTTTACTACCACCCAGTGTGAAAGGAAGGCTGTAATCTAAGAGACAGAGCTACAGGATGGCCTTGCATAACAGCATTCACACCCCCCTTAATTGATGGATCTGATTCAACTTCTTAATAAAACATACTGCTTTGACAGTGTTTCCATGATGAAATCATCCATTGCTACACTGTTACAACCAGGAAACCTAAGGCTCAGCTCACAGATGGGCTCAGAAATTCCTTCAAACATAGGTACATTTTTAATTTCTGTGTAAGAATACATGTATCGTAAATAAGACAAAGTGATTAATAAACTTACCTTTCTCTAACCTTAGATCCTGCCAAAGGCCCAAGAGAAAAAAATAATTTTGCAAATGTCTCAGGATCATAATAATCATCTATAGCTTCAGATAGCAGCTGTTTAGCAATCAAGCGAAATTCAGCACTGCCAAAACCCAGCTGCTCATACAGTCCAAAAATATGACTAATACTGTGTATATCAAGAAGGGAGGCACTTTTAAGGAAAATCCTGTTGCATTTTTCTAGCACTGGATGATGTCTCAGTTGAACATTTTGGAGAAACTGTAGTATTCTTCTGGCATAGTTGAAGTGGACTTCATGCTCTTCTTCTAACAGCTGTTCAGCCTTGTGTAGTAATCGATCTCGAAAACTCTCTGTGATAACTTCAGATATGCTGATCATCAAAACTGACAAGATCCTAAAAAATTCAAAAAGTCTCCTATTTACACATTGAATATAGTAAGCAATACATTTTATATTTATTAAATGAAGTGCAAAAAGAAATTAATGGTAGTTCAGGTGGCTTCTGTGCAAAAAGAATTTTAAATCTAATCCAGAAAACAGGGATGAGTAAAAACCACTTATCCTACTAAAGTAAAGATTCTGCTTTCAGTGAACTTCTGAAATGATTTGAATTTTTCAGCCATCTCTTAGAAAGTTACACATGATAAAAGTGATTGCCTAAGGCAAGACCCTGATTTGCCTGATTCATATTTGCTAAAATATCTTTAATGTTCAGTAGACACTAAAGAAGCCTGAACAATTCACAAGTGACAGGATGGGGAGAAGAGTCATTGTCACTCCTAAAGAAAGAATCCCTTCCTAAGGGAATAAAACTTACGACAATAGAGAAAGTGATTTCAGTAAAGAAATGCAGTCCTGTTCAAAGAGTTTCATAAGCAGGCTCTTCACATCTGAAAAAAATCAGTGTTGGGACTGCTGGTGCTATATAAAGCAGAAGAAAGAAAGAGAAGCCTTTGCTCTAACAGCCCCAGGGGAACAGAAACAAGAAAAAAATTATCTTGGTCTTCTTTGACTAGAGCTATGCTTAAAGTAGTTTAAATATGAAGGTAACGTGCTAGACATGCTAGCGAGAGAATTTATTAATTCAGCTTGACCAGAAAAACAATGCTCTGAAGATAAATAAACATATTATTGTTTTAAAACCCCTTACTGCTGTTAAGAAAGACATGTCATGGTAGACATGAGAAACTATCAATGTCAAGGGAGAAAAGCATCTTCTGGTGAGTCAATAGCCTCTAAATTACAAAAAAAAGTCTATGTTTAGAATCAGGATAATGCTGATTGTAAATATCTGCTGTACTGTAAGTAGAACAGTGAAAATTAATTAAATTTCTAGAAACTAAACAATCAAGCTGTAGTTTCAATCATTTAGACTGGTTATAAGGAAATTCTTTGTAAAGTCATTGGGAAAATGCATTCTCTTGTGAATCAATGCACAAATACAAAACACTTCTTTCCCACAAACCCCCAAGTGAAGCAAAGTAACCTCCGGCTTAGAATAAGGCAAAGTCTTCAGAAAAGACAGACCAGTAATTGAAACATTTTGTTTCTTCTGCTTCTGACACTTACCTTATATCCTGTATAGAATCCAGTTTCATGTCCACAATATGAGCTACTTGGCCAATTATGGGACTGAAGTGCCTGTGCTGCTTGTATAAGCACAGAGCGAATTTAGACAGACAAGGCAAGCTAAGCCTGTCAAGACATTAAAGACAGTCAGACAGGATATCTACCTTTTATTTCTAATCAATAATTAAAGACAAAAATATTTTAACAATTCTATAAAACCCAAGGTTATAGTCAAATTACAAAACAAGGAAACAAAGTATCTAAGCAAAAAACCAAAGTGTTTATATGGAGTTCTACAAGAACTAGTTGTACTTCACTTAACCAGCCTGAGAAATCTATAAAGATTATATTCTCAAGCAATTATGTCAAGCGGATAAAATGAATGTGAGCAATTTATTACTTGAATATAATTTTGTTTTCAAGCTACATTGTATTTATTTACTTCAAGATGCTCCACATATAAAGAAGAGGCAATTCTGTGATGCAGGTGCCAAGACTGACACTCGGTTCTGCCATTATCCCAAGATTAAAGAGTCAAAACTACAATATCCCTCTTCCAAAAAGGAATCAAAAGACAACAAAACACAACAACAAAATGCACAAAGGGAAAATGTTGCTGTTTAAATACAAAATGTTTTATAAAAATTGAGATAAGCATGGTTCTAATAACCATTTAAGATCTGGACAGCAAGCACTGAGGTAAAATTGTAAATATGAAAACCTGCAATTCACTTCAAATACATAATACTAGACAGACAATATATTCCAAAATCTCAAATGCTGGACCCTCTTGTTGCAGTATCTGAATCTCTCAAGCATTTGTGTACCAAATAATTTGTATCATTTTCAAAACCTTCAAAAATACAACTGACATTTAAAACACTCATTATATTTTAATCATAAATACTCTTTGAGAACTCTTGAGTAACCTCACATGAAGCAAATCATGCTTGCAACTTATACCTTTCACAAGGCACAGCAGGACAATACTTGCCTTTCTAATCTTTTCCATGCTTCTGTAATAAGCACTTTTGTTAGAGAAACGTGGTCTTCAACATTGAGCCTGCAAAATACAGACAATGCTTTACTTCAATAGTTATAAGGAAATAAGACATATGTCTTTTCATTATTTATCACAATGTTTTACTTTTCTATCATTCTCTCCATTCAAACAGATTGTAAACATTTGTGCATGAATAATCAGAATTCATAATAGTCATAAAACATATTTAATGGGACTGCAAAACAGATCTGTTCTGCCTGTATCTCCAAAAGTGAGGCACAGGACATTATGCTGTGTCACACAGTCAAGAGTGCAGAAGCTGTGGCAGGGCAGTCTCATCACAGTCTCCTTATGAGATAGCACTGTAGTCAAAATTCTTTCTCTTTTTATTACCAAATACAAAATGTATTTAATGCTCTTTACCTCAGGATGCTGTATAAGGTGTCCACTATCACCTCATCTTCCATGAGTTCCACCTTGTTTTCTGCCAAAACGCAAAGGGTGAGAAACTGGGAGTGATTTCTTACATACTCGCTAGTCCTTGAGAGAAAGGGCCTCTCCTTTTGCAATTGCCACAGCATGCTCAATGCAATTCCCACATGCTTTTCAGAAAGTCTGGCCTTGTTTCTTCCAACAAGGTTGAACACTTCATCTTCATGGGTGCAGCCATTTATCTGGCTCAGAAGCAGATCACTACACAGAGCCCGAGCTTGGTAACGCCTCAGTGTGAGCAAGCAAACCTGCCTCAAACAAAGCATTCTGCTAATCCTACCAGCTAGCTTTAAACTGTCCAGAAAGATTCTTCTTTCACTTTTCACAGAAAACCATGCTGCTACAGACAACAAACTCAAATATTTGAAAAACAGAAGACCATTTTTCTTTGAGCCTGTATGGTCACTTTATTAAGAAGTCAATTCGGAGGTACCTGAAATGAGAAAGTATCAAAGTGCTTAATTTCAGTCACAACAATAAAGTAAAAATCAGTGTCTCTACTGATGATGTTCTAAGTAAGATAAATTTAAGGAGAACCTACAGCCTGGACTCTTCTCATAGAAAAGCTCCCAACATCAAACACTGACATGCTCACAAGTACTGTGAAGTTAGTCCACTTGGTAAGTTTTCAAATTTATAAAACTGCCTTTAAAAGGTCACATGTGCTATCAATGCAACTACCGAGAAGGAAAAGCTGAAGATTTTAACATTCCAGCACTACATGACTAAGGGAGGCTTGCTCTCACTAGGCCATAATCCCAAACTGGGTTCCAGGAATTGCCAGAAAATACAACTATTGGTGGAAAAATGAAGTGAGATGGCTTCTAGTCAAGAAGGTTGATCACCTTTGTATTACAGGATACTGATCAATCACATACCATCAGCTGAAATTGCCACTGCACTAAAGAAAAGCAACCTGATTCTAAATTATAATAGAAGCTACAGCCTTATCTAATCAAATTTATTAAGCATTCATTTGTTTTCTTAGAATATACCCCAATTTATACAGAGTGCTAACAACTGTGTTCTACAACCTACATAATTGATTTCAAGCTGGAGTACACAAACCACAAGTGATAAGAAGTCTCATCAAGTTCCCTGAACTTAGAGATCATGGAAAAGCTTGCAAATCTTGCTTTAGAAAATATAATCATTAACAACTAAAATCATCAATACCTTCAGCAAACCTGAATGCTCTTGAACTGTAGGCATGATTCCATCAGTGCAATGTTATCAAGGCAATGGCAGCAGTACCCACTAGGTCTGTTGAGGAAGAAAAAACCTTATTTGTGCAGCCTGTGCAAGGTACTGAAATCATTCCAGAAAGATGGATATAGGTGGATTTCCTTTGACATCTGTACAATCCTCTTCCAAGAACAAAAAGCTATACAGCACATTGCACTGGGGCAGACACTAGCAAAGCTAAAATGAAGTAATTTTAATTTATGATCTGCTATAATAAGAAATCTTTTCTTTCCTATTCAAAATGAAAGAATACAAAAGAAGGTACAAATTTTTCACATACTATGTATTAAGTACTTTTTATAATAATGATTTGCTTTATAGTCCCTTTTCAGATATTACTTTTATTTTTTTTCATAAGGTAGTTGCCTTTAGAAAGAATTTACTTCCTACAGTAGTGGCAAGCTAAGTGCAAGAAGTCAGGATAAAGTAGATACCTGAAGAAAATATAAAAACCTTCAGACTCAGTTTCCTGTAAATCTGTGTGACACAACCTTTCCCCTTCTCCTGCTGCAAAAGACCTTGCAGATCATACTGTTGGGGAACCAGGATCTCTATCTAAAACAGCTCACAGGAAGCTTCAAAATATTTCTCTATTCCATTGAGCAGATGCAAGTGATTTACCACAAACTTTTACACCTTTTAAATCATCGTAAATTCCAGTATCTTTCAAAAAGTTCATCAATAGAAAACATTGGATGTTTTCAAACATAGAGTAAAAGGAGAAATTTGGATCTACCTAAGGAACTATTTCTAAGATGTCCTACTTACCATGCAAAACACACACTAGAAGGACAAGGTCTTGAAAATTATTTTCTATCGGTTGAAACAAAATTAGCACTTTTAAGTCTGTATTACAAAACACAGCGAGCCAGGAAGTCTTTCAAAAAGGAGCAAATGTGGACACTCACCACTTCCCAAATATAAGAAATACTAGACATTTAAGTAAGGCTTCAGAGAGCTGCTTGGGCAGTGCAGGCACCGGCTCGCCTCATTTCCCGTGAGCCCGGCCGCGGGAATACAACACCCCCGTTCCCGGGTAGGAGCGCTACCGCCGCACCGCTCCCGCGGGGAGCCCACCCGCTCCGGCACCGCGGGGAATCCTGACCCAGAGTGCCCCGGAGAGCGCGGGAAGGGGCCGGGCCGAGCCGAGCAGGAGGGCCGCGACCCGCGCCGCCAGACTCTATTCCCGCCTCCGGGGGCCGGGGGCACCGCTGAGGGGCGCTCCCTGCGCGCCTGAGGCACCGGGCGGGCGCGCACGGCACAGCTGCCGGCCGGAGCGGGGCGGCAGCGGCTGCCAGCGCTGGCTCGTCACACGGTAAACTCCACCGCCCGGCGGGGTTAAACGAGAAGGCAAAGGAGCCAGTTCCGCAGGAGCCGAGGAGAAGCTCTGGGTTTACCTTTGCACAGGACCCTTCCTGCTTTCCAGCCTCCAGACGCGGGAGGCAGCAGCCCCAGCGCTCCACGTGCCCTGGCGCCGTCACTCGCCGTGCGCATGCCCCGAGGCACAGCACTTCCCAGGAAGCGTAGGGAGAAAGGGAAAAGTCCAGCCAGTTAAGACTGTCCAAAGGAAATAAAAATAATAATTAAAGAGGTCCAAGGCTCATACTGACTATTGCATATTAAATAAAGCAACGTTTTTATAATTCATTCGGGGGGGGAAGGAAGTCTTCCCTGCCTAGGAAAAGCACAAAGTTCGGAAGGGTAAAGTTGAAGAGCTAGGCTTTGTTGTAGTGCAATTAATGTTATTTTACTGTACCATTTTTTAATGCTTTGCGACAACAATAGATTTAAAATGAATGAGTTTTAGGGGAGAAATCCAATATATCTTGCAACAAGTATGTTGCTTATGTGGAATGTGCACACCTCCAGGTCATTTTTCTGGACCTTTTCTCACCACCATTGATAGCAGTAAAGACATTTAGAAATTATAAAAATCTCAGATTGCTCTAAATTCTATCCAAAAAACAGAACCATGACCATGACCAATTCTGACCAGCTGTACTGCAGCTGTCTATCAACTGTTTCGGGTTTTTAGTTTTTGTCTGTCACCTCCTAATATATTGGATACCTATGAATATGGAACTCGCTCAAACTAATAGAATAGAACCTAATTTATCACAGGTCTGTGGTATTTTAGAAAAAGAGCATGTAATTTTTTCAAACTGGATTAATTACAATTTTTGTAATTGTGGAATTTATAACTTGGACAGGTTCTGTATCATCTTGCTAACAAATTCCAGATTGCCCCAGTTACAGTTTACACAGGCATGCAAGTAACAGAGCGAGACCCAAACTCTGCCAGGTGAGCTCAAAGGGTGGCACATAAAGTACCTCTTTCAAGAACGTCAGGCCTTGTGCAAACTCACATAACAATTCCAAGGCATCTGAGAGGAAAACTGCAGCAGAAAACAATTCCATGGTCAAATAAAGGAGACTTCTGTAAATCATACAGATTTTTGATTTACAAGATGCTGAACTTTTCACTTTTGACTTGTGAAGTACATTTGGATAAAATAAAATAATGCCTAAACCAAATTAAAAATGCTAGATAATGCAGTGACATTTTAAACTGGAAACATAGGGGAGGAAAGCAAGACTTAAGAAAGCATGCTGTACTAAAGCCAGTGTTGATTTATTGAACAGATGTTCACTCACCAGCTTCTTCAGGATTCCAGAACTCACAGGTGTTAGTTTCACATTTTAAACTGGTTTTGTTGGGTTATTTTCCATAAAACCATAAGATCATTGGGGTTTTTACTTCAAACAAACTTCTCATCAGCCAGTCACATAACTTCCATTACTTCTCATTATGTATGTGATTATTGACCCAAATGCCTACTGGTTAGACTTAAAACCCATCAAAGGAGGTACATACTTCAGTGCCAGTCTTAGTTAATTTTGAAGGTGCTCACAACTTTAGGCATTGCCATAAACTTTCATTCCTTAATTTTAAGATACATTAACTTTGAATTGCAATACATACATATGGGATACTATTATCAGTTACTCATTTTTTGCACAGTTGGCCTAAATTCCCGTTTTAATTCTTTACAAGCCCTAGCGAGGTGTACTGCTGGAGGAACCCTACGCGCTTCCAGCACCGTGCAGGACGGTTCATTTACCGACCCTTGGCCATTTCGCGGGGCCATCGGCGGGGAAGAGCAGCACTGTTCTCCAGCACGTTAGGCTGGGAAGGGCCCGCGTACCTGCCGCACTCCAGCCCCTCCGGCTCCTTCCCGCGCCGCGCCCGCTCGGGCCCGGCCCGGCGGGGCCGCGAGAGGGGCGGGGCGCCGCTGACGAGACCGAGGAGGCGGGAGCCCCTCCCCCAGCCGCTCGGGCTCCTCGCGAACGGCCCGTGCTGCCGGCCTGGGCTGTGTCGCTGCTCGGGACCCCTGCACCGTGCCCGGGCCGGGGGAACGCCGCTCCCGTCGCCGGGCTCCCCCGCCCGCCCCCGGCGCGCCGCCCCCGGGTCGCCGCTCCCGCCCCGTCCGCCACTGACGCAGTCCGTGCCGCACCAGCTCCAACATGGCGGCAGCGCGGCGCTGAGCAGCGCGGGGCTTCAAGGGCCGCCAGCGGGTGAGTGCCGGCCGCGCCGCCGGGCAGCGCCGGGCGCCGGCCCGGCAGAGTGAGGGCCGTCGCCCGGGCCGCGCCGGGGGCCGTCGCCCGGGCCGCTCCGGGGGCCGGGCGGACGGTGGAGGAGGAGGAGGTCGCAGCGCCGCGGGGCCTGAGCTCGGTCACGGCGCGGGTAGGAGCTCCGGCCCCTCCCGGCCGGCGCTTCGGAGCGCGCCTGGGGCTGGCGCCCCCGCCGCCTCCTCGCACCCGCCCCTCGCAAGGCCCGGCCGGCCGTGTGCGGGGGACAGGCGGACCGCGGCGCTCGGCGCATCCCGGGGAGGGTGGCCTCCGGGAGGGAAGCGGTGTGAGGAGCCGCCAGTGCGGCCCGAGGCAGGCGGGAATGGTAGGGTGGGTGAAGCGGCGCACGGGGCCTGGCGCGCGTTGCAATAGGGGTCGGCTCTGCCAGGCCGGCTGTGCCGCTCCGCAGCCTGGCTGGCCGCGGGTCCGTGTGCGCAGCGAGCGCCCCGCTCGGGCTC